AGATGCTCAACATCATCAGGAAAATGCAAATCAAAACCACAGTGAGATACCTCTTCACACCCACTAGGATGACTATAATTAAAAAGGTAGGCAATAATAAGTATTGACAAGGATGCTGAGAATTTGGAACCCACATACACTGCTGGTGGAAATAAATGTAAAATGGTGCAGCCATTATGGAAAACAGTCTGGCAGTTCCTCAAAAAGTTAAACAAGACCCAACAATTCCACTCCTAGGTGTATACTAAAGAGAACTGAACACACCAAACAAACGTTCAGCGGCATTATTCATAATAGCCAAAAGGTGGAAACACCCCAAGTATTCGTTAACTGGTGAAAAGATAAAATGTACTATAACCATACAGTAAAGGACAACATGGATGAACCTCAAAAACAATGCTAAGTGAAAGAAGCCAGACACAAAAAAAGACTACATGCTGTATGATTCCAGTTATATGAAATGTCCAGAAAGGGCAAATTTTAACGACAGAAAGCAAATCAGTGATGGGGTAGGGGTGAGGGTGACAGCAGAGACTGCCTGCAAACAGGCACAAGGCAAGGAAACTTTGATGATGGAAATGTCTAAAACTGATTGTGGTGATGGTTGCACAATTCTATAAGTTTACTAAAATTCTCCAGATCATAGGTTTACAAAGAATGAGTTGTACGGTACACGATTGATACCTCAATAAAGCTGTTATGAGTAAAGTAAATAAATACGATAAAAACAAAGCAAATGCTGTTAAATTCAAGCTAGGTACTGTTGCAGGGCATGTTGAAAACGTCAAAGTAAAAGAAAATTGGACAGGGACTTCCCTGGTGGCACAGTGGTTAAGAATCCGCCTGCCAATGCAGGGGACACAGGTTCTAACCCTGGTCTGGGAAGATCCCACATGTCATGGAGCAACTGACCCCGTGCGCCACAACTACTGAGCCTGCGCTCTAGAGTCCGCAAGCCACAACTACTAAAGCCTGCGTGCCTAGAGACCATGCTCTGCAGCAAGAGAAGCCACTGCAACGAGAAGCCCGTGCACTGCAACGAAAAGTAGCCCCCACTCACTGCAACTAGAGAAAGCCTGCGCGCAGCAATGAAGACCCAACGCAGCCAAATAAATAAATTAAATAAATAAATAAATTTATTTAAAAAAAAATTGGACAGGAGATTTTAAAAGTCTTCACACACACACACACACACACAGAGGTAACCATGAGATGATGGATGTGTAAATAACCTTATTGTGATAATCATTTCCCGATATATACATATATCAAATCATTACACTGTACACCTTAAACTTATGCAACGTTATATGTCAATTATATCTCAGTAAAGCTGGAAAAAAATTGGACAGTGTTACAGAGGTGTTAAAAAAATACTAGCACCCAATGATTCTTTCTAATATAATCAACAAAATTGACAGAGACCTGAAAAGATAACAACTGCCTCATAAATTGATTGTACAGTCCATGGTCCCTAAAATCATCTCAACCCCCCTTCCGTCCCCAGTCCATGCTTGGGGACACATACTCAAGTACTGCTTAGGTTCCAGACTGCCTCCCGGAATAAGGTGGCCTGAGGGACAGGAAGCAGAAAAGACAGCCTTTGGACTGGAGAGGCTGAGCACTCTCATCACTGGCAGCAAAATCGAGGTGGCCCATGGTATTCACCTGGGTGCCAGCCCCAATAGATTTTGGCTGACTCGGGTGTCCACAGGGTGAACCTGACTGATTAACAAGGTCTACCAAACAGAATCCAAAAGCAGTGCTGTAAGTGCCTTGTATTTGTGATTCTGTCCAAATGCCCAACTGAAGGGACATCAGGTTTGCTCTGGTCCCAGGTGACAGGAGGTACCACCTTAAACTTTTTGATATCTCTTCCAAGACACTGCTAACTGCTATTAAAGTCTAAGTTGTTCACTTAATTTATTTTTTGAGCCATTATAGCAGCTAACATTTTTCAAGGACCTCTTAGGCGCTAAGCACTGTTCTGAGCACTGTATGAGGATCAGCCCATTTTACAGATGAGGAAACCATGACCCAGGGGGCTAAGCAGCTTGCCTAAGATGATTCAGCCAAAGACAGGCTGGAAGAACATCAGAGATGAAAGAGGATGACTTCAAACAACTGCTCCATCAGATCTGGGGATGTCAGCCTCCAGGGGATCTCTATACCAGGCTGGGCTGCCCTGTCCTTGTGCCTGGGAAAAAGCAGGCGTGGATATCTCCCATGCCTAGTAGGGAACAGAGCCCTCTGCCCAGCTCTGACTGCCCCAAACTGTGCTAGTCTCCACTCCCTTTATTTCTGGTGGTCCCAGACACTTGCCTTCTTTCACCTTCCAAAATGAGCGTGAAGCAGTTCTCAAACTTGAGTGGACATCTGACTCACCCTAGGAGTGGGTTTTAAATGCAGGTTCCTAGGCCACAGCAGGCCCCAACAAGTCTGAGGCAGGGCCTGGCAAATGCATGTTAAACAAGCTTCCCCACTGTTGGAAGCAGGTGGTGCTGGACCATACTCAGAGGAAACCTGGCCCAGGGGATGCCCACAGGCCAACTGTGAGGCCTAGAAGACCATGAGATGGGATCAGATATTCCAGAAGCCAGGATCAGAGGTTCCAGTCTGAAAGTCTCCATGATGTCCAAATGCCCTGTCCTCTTTCTTCTCTCCTTTCCAGGCAAGTGACCAGACAAGGAGATGGAGCATGAGGAACCCAAACTAAAGTTCCAGGGCAGGCCACACTCCTAATCAGAGGCAGAAAAACAGTGTGGATGGGTACAACTGGTCTGGTAGTCTGACTCATGGTCCTGTACCCAGATGAGCTTCCATCCAGCTCTGAGACCTTGGAAAAGTCACTTCCTCCCTGGGGCTCAGGTCTTTCAGCCACAAAAAAGGAGACTGCAAAACCGGGTAGGTCCCCTCCAACCATTCCCTGGTTGTCCAGCATGGCCTCCCAGCTCCTCTTCCACTGACAGTAATGCCTCCTTGGGCCCAGACCCCTCCCTCCC